AAAAAGGAAAAAAAAATTTCATTTAAATCCCTCTCTTTTAGTCAAATTTCATCTCACTTTTTTTTTTTTTTCATTTTTAGTCAAGGACTATCAAATCCAGGCCCACCATAAATGAGCTCCTATGATTCAAGGCTTCAAGTAATTTTATGATGATGATGATGATTATTGTAACACTGGTAACGAAAAGGCAATAATAGGAAACAAGATCATTTATAAGAATCTAACTACACGTTGTTTTCAAAAAAAAAAAAAAACTACATGTTAACCCCACATATTTTTTTTTTTAGTACATAGGAGGGGCCTGGGCTCAAAAGAAAGACAAAAGAACTAGTCAACAATGATCAACTGGGCGTCAGATCCCAGCAAAGCAAAAAGACCTTGAGGACAATTGGGGAGCGCAACGAAGTCCTCATGCACAAGGGCAGCAACACCGGCCAGCCAATTGGCACACCTATTCCATCCCTGCGGGTGTGGTGGAAAGAAATTTGCCACTGAAGATCACGCCATTGATGAATACGATGCACAAGAGCCCTATAGGGGGAGTTTATAGGGTCATTCTCTATCGCCTGGATAGCTAGCAGAGAGTCACTCTCGATGATTAGAGCAGTAGTATCCACACTCCAAGCACATTGCAGTCCTATGAGAATTGCCCATAACTCAGCGCACAAAGGGCTACAAATTCCCACTTTATACGTGTAGCCAGTGATCCAAGTTCCTTTGTGGTCCCGTAGGAGGCCATCACAGGAAGCCAGCTTCGAGGACATAGAGACAGCCGCATCTACATTAAACTTCAGAACACCTTGAGGAGGAGGCTGCCAAGTCACAGGTTGGAAGCTACTAGTCCTGTTCTGGGAAGGAGAGAGAGTTGTTCCAGTAAGCTTGATTTCGCTGATGTAGGAGGAAATCGCTATGATAGGATTGGGAGGTCTGGAGAAGAGAGGATCATGGACTTCATTGTTCCTCCACATCCAAAGGAACCAGATAGAAACAAGGAAGATGTCATGCCACTCCCAAGCCTGAGGATGATTCCACCCGTTGTTGAGGTTTTTACGAACCCAGTCTTCATGGGGAAAAGTAATGAAATCAGCAGGGAGGTTACCAGTAAACCAAGCCACCCAGATGGGCATTGATCTGTCACACCTCCTAAGAACATAGGATATATCTTCCGACTTATGAGGGCAGATATGGCAAGAAGAAGATCCACTCCATCTAGATGTATAATGTTTGGTGAGGATGCGCCCATGCAGAACTAACGAGGCAAGAGTTCTGATTCTATAAGGGCCCCTCCATTGCCAAATCCGTTTCCAGATGGGATCCGAATTAGCAAAGTCAAATTTCTTGATATACATATACGCTTTCTTAACAATGCTACCTTGGTTTGGACTGTGGTTCCAAACAAGCTGATCAGGGCCCCTTTCATCCGAGGGAGGAATGATTGCTCGAATGGTTTGAGCAACAACAGGGGTCAGGCACCTATGGATGAGCTCCATATTCCACTGACCAATATTTACGTTAACCAAATCCTCAATTGTCGAGATTAAGTCAGTTGGGGAAAGGGTTATGGTGGACAAGTTCTCAATGGGGTATTTAGAGGAGTCCACAGGTCCTTCCAGAATAGTATATCTTTACCATTGCCCACGTCCCACTTTACACACTTTAAAACTTCCCCCCATATTTTGCTGAGCCCCTTCCATAGCATGGAATCGTATTTTAGCGCTTTGATTTGTCTTCTGGTGTATAAATTCCTTCCATATTTGCCCAGGAGAACTTGCACCCAAAGCTCATCTTTATTGTTCAGGATTTGCCATACAACTTTGTACATAAACGCTTCATTTTGCACCTGCAGGTCTTGAATTCCCAATCCCCCCACAAATTTGGGCATGCATAGGGACTCCCAAGAGAGTAAGTGCACCTTCTTTTTATCCATTGTGTCTCCCCAAATAAACCCACGTTGGATTTGTTCTATCTCCTTGCAAATCGAGATGGGAAGGAAGCTATGTTGCATCTGATAAGAGGGGATGTCACTTATGACAGCTTTGGCTAAAGTTGTACGCCCAGCGAAGGAGAGAAGGTGCCTTTTCCAGTTAGAGAGATTCATTTTAACTCACTCAATAATGCTGGAGAAGTTCCTTCTTTTACCTTTTCCATGATTCATCATAGCCCCTAGGTATTTTCCAAGCGAATCTGCCTCCATGAATCCGCTGGCCTGGGAAATACTTTCCCGAAGGGTGTGATCAGTATTCTTAGAGAAGTGGATTACAGTTTTCTCAATACTAACCAGCTGGCCCGAAGAGTCACAGAAACACTTTAAGCAATCAGCCATCACATCTAGCTGATCAAGGGTGGCTTCCCCAAAGAGCACGAGATCATCCGCAAACATTAAGTGGGATATGGGTGGGCCTTTCCCCCCTACTTTCAACGGTTTCCAGTTCTTCCTTTGAACAATATCCATGATCAGATGGGATAGTTTTTCCATGCATAGCACAAATATGTAGGGAGATATGGGGTCTCCTTGACGGAAGCCTCTAGAAGGGGAAAACTTCTCAGACCTGTTGCCATTCCATAAGACCTGAAAATGAGGGGTAGACATGCAGTAGTAAATCAGGTTAGCCATTTCGTGAGGGATATCTGCCTCCAAAAACACATTGTAAGCAAAGACCCAATTTAATCTATCATAAGCCTTGAAGAGATCTATTTTGATGGACATAAAGGCTTTCTTTCCCCTCATTCTATGCCTCGAATGAGTTAGCTCTTGGACTATGATGACGTTGTCATGAATGTTCCTTCCAGGTACAAAACTGGTTTGGAATGGAGAAATCAGATTATTGAGGAGGGGCTTAAGCCAATTGACCACTATTTTGGTGATAGTTTTATAGAACACATTGCAAAGAGCAATGGGTCTAAATTGATCAATCCTCTCAGGGTGTGGGGACTTTGGGGATCAGCACCAAAAGTGTTTCATTTAGCAGATGAATATCCTCAGCTTTGGCAAAGAACCGTCTGATATCCGAACGTCGTTGAGGAAGTTCCAATTTCTTTGGTAGAAGGTCGCAGGAAATCCGTCAGCCCCAGGGGCTTTGTGAGGGCCCATTTGGAAGATTGCAAATTTAATCTCCTCTGCAGTTAAGGGTTTGGACAGAAACTGTACATCATTGGTAGGGAGCCTAGGCCAGAACTCAGTAGAATTGAACTAAGGACTCATGGCTTGAGTTTCAGAGAAAAGGTTTATGAAGAAGGCATTCACTAATCTCTTCAAGGCTTCATCGTTCCTTACCCAAAGCCCAAGATCGTTCTAGAGGGCTGTGATCTTGGTATTACGTCTCCTAGCAATGGTGCATGTGTGATAAAATTTGGTGTTGCGGTCTCCATCCTTGATCCAAATTGCTCTTGATTTTTGATACCAGAGTTGTTCCTCGTAGTCAAGAGTTTTTTTTCCAGCTCGAGGCTTAACTGCAACTCCAGGTTTTCTAAGAATAGGTTGCGCCCAAGCTCCAACTTCAATTGGATGCCCGCTAATCTACGAAGAAGAGAAGATTTTTTCCTGTTGATGATACCGAAGGTGGTTCTATTCCACTCACGAAACACTGGAACAAAGTGATGCAAGTTAGAGTGAGTGTTCTCATGGCCTTACCAATTATCCTTGATGATGGCCTCACACTGGGGGTGGTCCATCCAGGAGGAGAAGAAACGGAAAGGTCTCTCTTTCCATCCCTCATCCTCTTTGCTAAGAGAGATGAGGAGACCCCCCACATATTTTTAAAAGGTAAAAATTTAATAACTATCCTCAAATTCTTATAAAACCTCGTTGTCCTTTTAAATTTAGGGATTAATGTTTTTATGTTATGAGAGATAATTTTATCCGTTACACAAAAACATGAATCCCATATATATATATATATATATATATATATATATATATATATATATATATATAGGATTTATTATTTGTAATGTCACTGTATATAACGTTTCATTTTGGATGGGATAAAAGAAGTTCGCGTTCAAAATTAATTGTAGAAAATGAAAATAATATTTTCACTTTGTATGGTTATGATTTCTCATATTTAATGTTTTATATTTATTTTCATCTTTGTATGGTTATGATTCACCATATTTAATGCTTTCACACTATAAAATGACGTAGTTTTATATGACTTTACCGATGCTTTAGGTACAGTCACCGTAGATTCGAAAAACCTATATATATATATATATATATATATATATATATATATATATGAAATAAAATTATCTCCTAGAATATAAAAAATATATTATATTTCCAAAAAAAATATCAATCCTTCTAAACTTATTCACTCGTTTTCTTGAAATAACTAAAAGTGCATACGATACATATCAAATACATTAAAAAAAGAATAGTTATGTACTAAAAAAACAGAACAGTTAATATTCACAATTTGTGAATTAAATGAATCATTTTGGTAAATTTCAAACTCCGAAATTTTTTGAAAAGTCGTACTTAGGTTACTAATACACTCTTTTAAATATATTTTATTATTAAGTCACAAATAATGTTTTTCTTTTTCTTTTTAGATTTATCCATTGATTCATTCATTAATCGATTAATTGGGTCGAGTTAGAATTACAATGACTCTTTTCTTATTATCTTTAACTTCATTTTTATTATTATTGGATCAAAAACAAATTAACAATAATAAAATGACATCAAATAAAAGTTATTATGAGAACCATTATTTTAAATTTGATCATCCCATAAGAAAAAAAAATGATAAATATGAAAACATAATCTGATAATAAAAAATATTTAGAAAACGTAATAATAACTTTCCTCTGTTGTCAAATTGAAAAGTTCAAAAGATGAAGAACAGTAAAAATCTAAACTAACTCTGGAGCTCAATAACAGTGCCAACGGATCTATCATCATCTATTCTTGACGCAAAAGACACAAAGAGAAACACAATAAAAGCAACGGTTCTTTTCTCTCACCCTCTCTAGCTCTCCTTTCTAAGTGTTTTGTGTTTGTGGATCATCATCATTCATCAATCTTCCTCCCTGCTAAAGCAACGGTTTTTCATATATTGTTAGCTTTCAATAGAATCCATGACCCCACAGTAGTCACAGTGTCACATACTCTCTCTCTCTCTCTCGTGCCTCTCCAGCTGAGTGCTTGTGCTTCAAAAATGGTCACCAAAAACCAGAACCGGCCTCCATTATCACTCACATCCCCACCTCCAACTCCTTCAAAGGTACCCTCTTTTTTCATTTCCCAATATTTTATTTCTATCTTTACCTCAGTTTAAATCATGGGTTGTTCTAGTTCTTCAGTATCATGCTTAAAAATGTGATCTTTTTCTGTTGAGGTTTCAGAACTTTGTGGCTAATGTGCTCCTCCTAGATAAAGGGCTACAATTTGGAGTAGAAAAAATGGTGGGGACTCCGATTAATGCAAGGGAAAGGCAAGCTTTTACAGTTGTAAATGGTGGACACGATCTTGGACCGAGTAGTGCTCCTCCAAGCATTGCTGGATCGGATTATGGTGTAATAGAGTTCACAAGAGAGGATGTGGAAGCATTGCTAAATGAGAAGGCCAAAAGGAAGGACAGATTTAATTACAAGGTCAGTTGAAGTTTGAGACTCTAAGGTCATTGATGTGATATATATGTGGGTGTTTGTGTGTGTGTGTGTGTGTGTATTTTGATTTTAGATCAAAGGGGATATTAAGTTCAATGTACAAGGTTGATGGGTTTGTGTGCTATTTGATTTACATGAAACATAGTATTACTTGAATTACTGGTTGATTACTCATAGATTACATTACCCTTTATGTTCTTAGGAGAGATGTGAAAATATGGTGGATTATGTAAAAAGGCTTAAGGTTTGCATCAGATGGTTCCAAGACCTTGAGATGAGCTATTCACTAGAGCAGGAAAAGTTAAAGAATTCATTGGATATGACCCAGCAAAAATGCATAGAAATTGGTAAGATTAATTTTCAGTTTTCCCCTTTCTAATATAAAAAATCATTGCGGAATTTGATTACTAATATGCTTAGATTTATTTGATTACAGAGTTGCTACTTAAAATCAAGGAAGAAGAATTGAGTTCAATTATTGCGGAAATGAGGAGGAATTGCACTTCTTTACAAGAGAAATTGATGAAGGAAGAATCAGAAAAGTCGGTAAGAAAGTTTTTGAAGTTATTGACTTTAAAAATTTGAAAAAAATTTGTAAAAGGAAATGTTAATCATAAGTCTAAACTTATTATTATCTTTGTCAATACAAGGCTGCAGTGGAATCTCTTGTGAAAGAGAGAGAGGCTAGGCTTCACATTGAGAGGTCACAGACTGCTCTGTCAGAGGATCTTGGGAGAGCTCAAAGAGAGATCCAAAGTGCAAATCAGAAGGTAAAATAACAGTACAATTCATTGCTTACATTATTTCTTTCCACTTTTTATCATTATTTCTTACATTCATTGCTTGAATTATGCTAATAAATAAATCTTCATCTATTGATTTCTGCAGATATCGTCACTCAATGACATGTATAAGCGGTTACAAGATTACATAACAAGCTTACAACAGTACAATGGAAAACTTCATACAGAGCTTTCATCAGTTGAAGATGAACTTAAACGTGTAGAGAAAGAGAAGGCTACTGCAGTGGAGAACCTCACCATGTTAAGGGGTCAACTTACTTTGTCCATTGTGAGTTTGCTTTCACATGTGAACTGTTTTAATTTGGAATTGAAGTAGAATATGTAATGAGTAAATAGTTGCAGTCTTAGTAGATACATAAAAAGCCTTTTGATGATCACAAAAAATTGGAAGCTGCAATTTTTTTTGACAAGGAAAGATGATTCGGAAGAGTCTTCTGATTAACCCATTCTTTATCTTCTGCTTGGGATGTTTTGATGAACATGATACTTGTAGTAGACTACATTCAATATGTAGTACTTTCGAAAATTTCTCTATTTATTTTTGAATGACTGGACTGTATTCATTGTTGGCCCTTCCTTTTTTTCCTCATTGGTGTTACTACTTCATGTAGAGGAGATCGTATTGCTTACAGCCTCATACTTTTGAGGAAGGTTCACTTAAAATGAAGCTGGTGGAGGTCTTGATCTCTCTTAGTTTAAGAAAGTTTAAATTTTTGTTTGGTTTTGAAAGAGTGATTTGTGATTGGAGTAAATTCTTAAGGAAAATAGTTTATTCTCAACAAATGGTTATTGTTCATGCAATGATAAGCCCAATGATAAAAAGTCATAGAGAAATTTCTCTCTACCCCTAAAACATTTGCACATTACTACATAGTTAGAATTTTAGAATCTTTGGGATTTTCTTTTATTTTCAACAAAAAGAACACTCCGGAAAAAAATGTTTTACCTTTTTGAATTTGTTGAAGTCAATTATAAAATCTGTGTTTTAAAAGTTTAGGATTTTTTTTTTATTTTTTATTTTGATAAAATTGAAATCATTTATAAAAAATTCCTTGCTGAACACACAAGTATATGTGCAAGCATTCAATAATACTTCGCATATATTAAAGAAATGGCAGTACATCTAAGAGAGAGTAACAGTATGCTGATCATAGGGGACCTGATGTTCTGATCATTCTTCATGTTTTATAGTGGTGGAAACCACTTGATCTTGAGGTATAGATGCAAAAAGTTTTTTATACAAGTGCCCTAGAGATCTCATAACGTTCCTTGGTAAAAAACCTAAAAAACTGATAATGCTTAAATCCTACCAAGTTTAGTAGATTGTAGAATTTTAAGATCCGATGTGATATTTTTCTATTTTATTTCATATAAATTTTAAGCATAAGTAGTTGTGAGTTTTGGATTTAAATTTACAAACTATCCTTCATGAAATCTCTGATGTCGTTATTAAACTTGATTTCCTGTTGTTCTGTTTCTAGTTTCTTACTTAACATGCAACTGGTATATTACCCAGTTTCCTTGATTCTTTTAATAGTCTTCTCAAGAAGAGGCAGTAAAACAGAAGGATTCTTTGGCTAGTGAAGTTGCTTCTCTTAGAGGAGAGTTGCAACAAGTAAGAGAAGATCGAGACCGCCATTCATCTCAAGTGCAAAATTTAACTTGTGAATTAGTGAAATTTAAAGAATCTACAGAAAACTCCTGCACTGAATTGGACAACTTAACATTAAAAGCAAGTGAATTGGAGGTTGGTTTGTATACCCCATTTCATTTCATTAAATATCACATCCTTTTGCTATTACGGAGTCAAGAGAGAATGAGTTTCCTGCACAGGCAAAATGTTCTTTGAAAGATAATCAAATAAAGGCATTGCAAGAGCAGCTAGGATCTGCGGAGAAGAAACTGCAGGTAATAAATACATTTTTTTTAAAAAAAAATGTATATTGTTAGATATAAAACCATTCATGAATCACTTCCTAATAGCTTAAGCTTTTAGGAGAGTTTGTTTTTGACATGGTATTAGAGTCTCTATGATCAAGTAGTTGAGAGTTCGACCATGTCTGCCCCCATTGTTTTAATAAAAAAATATTGATTTCAGCACAAGGTAGTGTGTCTCTATGCACTATCCATGCTTAAGCTTTAAGCGCTCTTGCGTGAGGGACTTGTTAGATATAAAACCATTTATAATCCCCCTCCTACAGCTCAAACTTAGGAGAATTGGTCCTTCATACATTATAATGATTATCTATCTTATTCATTGCTTTTGTTCCTTGTCAGGTGTCTGATATATCTGCATTCGAGACAAGGACAGAATTTGTAGGGCAACAGAAATTTGTAGATGAGTTACAAAGACGCTTGGCAGATGCTGAAAATAAACTTATAGAAGGGGAGAGGCTGCGGAAAAAGTTACATAATACCATTTTGGTAATTCACTGAGTCAAAAGATTTATTGATAATAAGAAAATCCACACCTTAGTAATCTCCATTTTAACAGGAATTAAAAGGGAACATCCGTGTATTCTGTCGAGTGAGGCCTTTGTTGCCTGATGAAAGTTGTAGCACAGAAGGCAAGATTTTCAGTTATCCAACATCGATGGAAGCAACTGGACGAGGCATTGACCTAGCCCAAAATGGTATATCTCTTGTGAAGTTGTATTTGAAATTGTTCTTACTTCTGTATGCTTGTTTTAGTTTATCATCTAATAATATTGTCAACGCATGGTGTTCTTGTTTTGTTCTTAGGCCAAAAACACTCTTTCACATTTGATAAAGTTTTTACACCAGAGGCATCACAAGAAGAAGTTTTTGTAGAAATTTCACAGCTTGTACAAAGCGCTCTTGATGGTTATAAGGTAATTTCAAAGTTCTTTTTTTGTCTCCTTCGATATATCATATTATTCATTTAAAAATATATACACAAATCAGTGGACCATTGCATAATTGCTAGTCAGTCTTGGAAAAGTAGAATTCTATGTGTTTAACTCTTTGTTTTTATTCTCAGTTTTGTGTTGTATAGCTCTTTGCCCTACTTTGCCACTCTGTTAGATTTGAGGTGGGATACTGCTTTTCTAATATGCTTTTTTATAAATAAATAGCCTTGGAGCAGTAGTAAGATTGCATCTTGTGACCATCTGACCGAAAGGTCACAAGTTTGAGTGTAGGAAACAACCTCTTTGAGTGACCATCATGTGTTTAACTCTTTGTTTTTATTCTCAGTTTTGTGTTGTATAGCTCTTTGCCCTACTTTGCCACTCTGTTAGATTTGAGGTGGGATACTGCTTTTCTAATATGCTTTTTTATAAATAAATAGCCTTGGAGCAGTAGTAAGATTGCATCTTGTGACCATCTGACCGAAAGGTCACAAGTTTGAGTGTAGGAAACAACCTCTTTGCAAAAATAGCCTTGGAGCAGTAGTAAGATTGCACCTTGTGACTGAAAGGTCACGGGTTTGAGTGTAGGAAACAACCTCTTTGCAAAAAATTACAGGGGTAAGGCTGTCTACAATCAACTCTCACCCCTACCTTTGCAAGTCAAGGAATCTTGTGCACCGGGATATGCCTTTTGCACTTATGTATACATATGTGTTTAGCATTGGGGTTTCTTTTAAAATATGATGATGTTTTTCATTTTCAGGTCTGCATCTTTGCCTATGGTCAGACAGGGTCAGGGAAAACCTATACAATGATGGGCAGGCTTGGACATCCAGAGGAAAAGGGCTTGATACCTCGTTCATTAGAACAAATATTTCAAACAAAGCAGTCTCAACAACCTCAAGGCTGGAAATATGAGATACAGGTAACATTAGATTATTTTCTTCTTAATTTTACCTATCATTGCAACGTATAGAAATTTTTACATATGATGATGAGAAGGTTTTCCTCATAAAATTTACAGGTGTCAATGTTGGAAATATACAATGAAACCATTCGTGATCTGCTTTCTACAAACAAACCATTATCAGATGCAACACGCCTGGAAAATGGTACTCCTGGAAAACAGTATACAATCAAACATGATGCAAGTGGAAATACACAAGTTTCTGATCTTACAATAGTGGATGTTCAGAGTGCTAGAGAGGTTGCATTTCTTTTAAATCAAGCTGCAAATAGCAGGTAACTAGTTTCTAGTGTTTACATCAACAAGACACCGCAAAATGAACTTGTCATTTTATGAGTATACATGACAATGCTAAACATGTTAATGTATTTAGGAAATATCGTTTTTATTGTTTTGAATGGGATTAGGAGAAATGGCCAACTGGTTGGTAAAACATGATTTGACATAATTCAGTTGTTAGAAAATATTGATTTATGTTCTCTTGGAAGTTACAATACTAAGTTTTTTTATGCCAAACGTTTAACTGTTTTAATTTGTTTGGTTATCTCCTTTCAGATCTGTGGGAAAAACCCAGATGAATGAACAATCATCAAGAAGTCATTTTGTATTTACTCTTCGAATATATGGTGTAAATGAGGTATAGATTAATAATCAAAACCATGTTTTATATTTTGTTCTCATTTTCCTACTAAATCTTCCATAGACACACACTGACTTGCATCATAATGCAACCATTTTTGTTTTTTCTGCTAGAGCACTGACCAACAAGTACAAGGTGTTCTGAATCTTATTGATCTTGCTGGTAGTGAGCGACTTTCAAAGAGTGGCTCAACTGGGGACCGGTTGAAAGAAACTCAAGTATGCAAATCCATGATGTTTTCTTTTCCACTTGTGCTTATTTGATTTCAAATAGCTTAGATTCTCTTTCATTTGTAATCAGGCAATCAACAAAAGTTTGTCATCATTAAGTGATGTTATATTTGCCTTGGCCAAGAAGGAGGATCATGTTCCATTCAGAAACACAAAGCTTACATATCTGCTTCAGGTAATTCTTACTCTCACATGGCATTTTCTAAACTTTACAATATTATGATTTCTTTTTTGTTGACTTTGAATGATTTGGAGGGCGAGCCTTAGAGCAGCGGTAAGGGTCACAGGTTCGAGTCTGGAAAATAGTCTCTTTATATAAGGCTGCGTACAATTGACCCTTTATCAACTTGGGTTTGCCTTTTCTAGACTTTGAATGATTTGAGGGTGATCTAATGACTTTAACATAATGATTGAACAGCCTTGTCTGAGTGGGGATTCCAAGACATTAATGTTTGTGAACATGTCACCTGATCCTTCTTCAGTTGGTGAGTCACTATGCTCACTCAGGTTTGCATCCAGAGTGAATGCTTGTGAGATTGGAACACCTCGTCGTCAGACCAATGGACGATCTTCAGATTCTCGCTTGAGCTATTTCTAATCTTCAGAAAGATGTATATTTTTTTTTTAACCATTTATGGCAATCAAGTGCGTGTGTGAGTATTACAATAAAGTGAAAATGAGTTTGATTCTAACGTCGGCATATAGCTTGTATAATGAAGAAAGTTACTAAGTTTGCATTTAGTTGAACACCCTTTCTTATAATTCAATTTGTAATTCTGCTTAATGTTATTTATTCATAATATTATAATTCAGAAAAGGAAATTGTTTTGACTACAATCATCTCAAAAAATATTTCAATATTAAAAACACGAGGATTATATTGACAATTTTTTTTTTTTTAACAAACTTATAAACTATATTATGTCTTATCGGTAAGACATAATATAGTATGTAATAATTTGTAAATAAAAAGTTTGTAAATATAATATTCTATTATTAAAATATGGTGTGCAAATTGTAGTCTCCTTCGATTTATATTAGACCACTTGCAGTTCTTTTCGTGAATAACAGATTCAGGTCCAAAAGGGTAATATGACAAATCAAAATTCTTCCAGTGAAATATTAAGAAAGTTTGAGAGCAATAAAATCTTCTTGTAAGAACTATAAAAGGCAAGACCTACTGCTACTCTTGAGGTCTGAATTGAGCATTCTGAGGACCAGAAATCCAACTATGGGGTCTCCCTTTTGGGTCCTGTGTGCATCTGGAAGCCTAATAATAGGAGGTAAAAGATGACACCTGATAAGTCTCTTAATTGAGACTTAAAACATATGCTTTATATTGCAAATGAAGGGAAATGAATAGATTTTGTGAATCAAATACCCCTAATGTTTGTGATTTATCTTTTGTTGATTAAAATGCTAATGGGCTACAATATTTCATCTTTCAGGCCCAATTGTTACCCAAATCAGAAAAAAATCCAAGACATGAAGAAAAGAGAAGAAAGTAAGGAAAGAAAGAATTGGGCCAGACCCAAAAGCTAAGGCCCACATGAAAGGAAAGCAAGAAGAGAAGCTGATAGGGATCAGATGAAAGAAAAAAAAAGCATGCAACAAAAGGACATCGAACCTAGAGCCTTTTCTCTCTGACCGAACCCTAACTATCATCAACCTATCTCCATTTATTCATCCATCTTCAATCCTTGTCACAAATTGATACCTAAGGTCAGACCGTCCCTGGTTTACGGTTCACCCATTCTAAATCAACCTTCATCCACGGTCCATTAAGAAAAAAACAAAACAAGAAAACCCTAACCGATTCTTTGTTCGATCCAGAAAAATCCAAAAGAGTTGATGAGCTGGAGGTCGTTAGTGGAAAGGGCTGTTTTTTGGGGTGCGTTTGCTGAATCGTACAAGGAGACACCCACGATCGAAAGTAGCAAGGAGCGTACGTTGGAGGGGATGATTTTGGAGTAGCTATAAAGGAGCAACGTAGGTTTTTTTTAGGGAGATCGATCTCTCCCTACCTCTCCTCTGTTCGTTGATAAATTTTATTTTGCTCTTTAGGTTATTTTCATGCTACTGTTTTCTGTCTTTATTTTAGTAATCGGTTTGTAAATTTTATGAGCATTGTGGTCAGGACTATCGGTTGTTGATAGTTCCTGAGTTTTTTTATTTCCAATACCTTTTAAAGTTTCTATTTTTATTATGAACACTTGCTGTATTTTAGCTCATCAACCTGTGGTGATGAGCTAATTTTTCTGAGAGTTGGGTTGGATAAAGTACCCAGAACTCACTGTTAGTAGATGATAGTTTAATGTTTACAGGGTTGTTTTTCAGCTTGATTACTGTGCATGTTGAATTCTGAGATTGTTATGTGATGATCACACATGGTCAGCTCTTAGTGGTGTGAGGGTATTGGGAAATAACTCACTAGACCCCACTGTGAGCACATGAAAAGTTGAGAGCAAAATTTCTCTCAATGGGTATGGTTTCAGGGATGGAGTTACCCACATGTAACTTGTGAAAATGGTGTCTCAAAGTCCTAAGACAATAGTGACATATGGATATGCCAACTGTTGTCAGTGGAAGAAAATTGATGTTGGGAAACATCCATTACTCTAGTATTTTCGTTAAGCTGAAAGCATTTTCTGTTTTCTATTAAAGTATCCTAATGACATTTGAGTGAAGGAGAAATCGAAAACTCAACTCATTTCCAAATACTGATTTTAAAATCAATATTTGTCACTTGTTATTTTTGTTCAACTTCAAAATTATTTTTCTCTTTTAAATCTTAAAAGAAAATCATTAAAAAAATATATTTTACAACTCTCTTAGTTTAGTCATTTTTCTAGGCAACAGTTAAAAAGATCCTTTCATCAACTAAGATCACTGTTTTAAGAAGAGAAAATTTCCACAAAAACATTTTCAGTACACTAGTTGAGAATAGTAGTAGCATTTAATTTTATTTGTTTTTATTTTTAGTTCTTTTAGCAATTACCAATTTATTTCAAGTTAGAACGCAAAGATCCTTGTGGGAACGATAACTGGGACTCACAAAAGCCCTATATTACTTGTTGTCGCGTATACTTGCGCGCATTACTTGCACAACTGTTAGCAAGGCAACAAGCTTTTGGCGCCGTTGCCGGGGATCGAGGCGTACATGATCAGATTTCTTTGTGTGATTGCTATTTCTGAATTGCTTATTTTTGCTGTTTTTAGTTTAGCTTAATTTGAATTCTGTTTCAGGTGTGTTACTGTAGTTCGTGAATATTAATAGCTTAAAACTTTGTTCTGTTGATATTCTGTTTTTTTATGTCATTTAATTTTTTTTTTTTAGTCTAATAGTTCATAGTTGTTATTTTATTTCATAATTTTGTAGTTACAGTTTAATTTTAATTATCAGTCTCACTCTGTTAGTGAGTCTGCTTTATAAAGCTGTAAAGCTGTGAACTGTCTTGGGACTTTTCTGTTTGCAGGTTCTTGTTTGTTTATTTTTTGCATGTTTTGCATAAAAATTGGTTAGTAATCTAGGTGTTTTAGCTAAGTCAGGTTTACCTGTTTTAGTTAAAAAGGGTGCATAAGTGCAACTCCACACCCGTTCATAGAATCTTTTGATCCAGAACCTGAAAGGACATTTAGAGTTAGGAGAAGAGCCCAGAGAGCACATAGGCAAATTCCACTTCTAGAAGTTGAAGAAATGGAGGATTTAGGAAGTTTAAATGGAAATGATGGGGTAGGAGGACCTGCAAGGATAGAGAACCCACCTGTCATAAATGACAATGATAGGTCCATGATGGACTTCATCATACCTGTGTTGGATGAGTTAGATCCAAGCATAGCTTAACCTGTGAATGGAGTGCCCTTTAAGCTAGAACCGGTGATGTTCACCATGCTCCAAAACATGGGGCAGTTCCATGGGTTGTTGATGGAAGACCCACACAAGCACCTTAGAAATTTCATAGAAGTGGCCAACACTTTTAGGAATCCTAACATCCTTGAGGAACATAGAATCCCAACTAGGCCATTTAGCAAACACTATGAATATCAGACCCCCTGGTACCTTGCCTAGTAACACTGAAGAGCCTAGGAGAAATAAAGAGCAATGCAATATGATAGAGCTTAGAAATGGCAGATATGTAAATCAGCCAGAACCTGTGGTTAGACCTTCCACATTAAAAAAGAGAGAAGAGGAGAACATGCAGAAAGAAAAAGATGCAAATTTTGAACCTGTTCAGAATTCTGTTGTTCATGACAGCCCCCAAGGGGCTGCGCATTGTGACCCCTTGCTCATTCTGGTTGAACCAGACAATCAGCCCCCTATAGATGAGCCTTTAGGGAATAATTCCATGGAAAAATCAACTTCAAGGGGTTCGGCCCCTAAGCCAAATAGTGAGACACCTGCTGCCTCAAAAAGACCTCCACCACCCTTCCCTCAAAGGTTACAAAAACAGAAGCAAGACACTCAATTTAGGAAATTTCTAGACCTCCTAAAGCAGTTGCATGTCAACATTCCATTTGTGGAAGCATTAGAACAAATGCCCACTTATGTGAAATTCATGAAAGAAATTGTTTCAAGAAAAAGGAGGCTAGAAGAGTTTGAGACTGTTGCTCTTACACAAGAGAGCAGTCAATATCTGCTTAGTAAGATACCTCCTAAATTAGGAGACCCAGGAAGTTTTACAATCCCATGTACCATAGGAGACCACTACATAGGCAGAGCATTGTGTGATTTAGGTGCTAGTATCAACTTAATGCCTTTGAGTGTGTACAAAAAGCTGAAAGTAGGAAAGCCTAATCCCACCACTGTCACTTTACAGTTGGCTGATAGGTCCTTAGTTTATCCGGAAGGGAAAGTAGAGAATGTCTTGGTGAAGGTAGATAAATTCATTCTACCTGCTGACTTTATTATTTTGGACTATGAGGAAGACCGAGAGGTGCCTATAATTTTAGGAAGTGCTTTCTTAGCCACTGGTGGGGCTGTGACAGATGTTAAGGAGGGTGAGTTGGCTATGAATGTGAATGGTGAGCAAGTAAAATTTAATATTTTGAAAGCCATGAAATACCCAAGAGACATAGAGGAGTGTTCTAGGCTAGATATCATTGACTGTGTAGTCAAAGATAAATTTTTGCATGAGTCTGCATTGGACTCTTTACAAATTTCTGGTTTTGAGGGTCTTGAAATCAGTCAAACTGATTCAGAGGAAGTGGTTAAATGGTTAAATTCCAGATCTGATGTGGTTTGGAAAAATAAAAATTTTGAGTCCTTAGAATTGGCCAAGAGAGGGTTAAAAATTCCCAAACCCTCAATTGAAGAGCCCCTGTGTTAGAGCTCAAGCCTCTGCCTAATCACCTTAGGTATGCTTACGTAGGAGAACAAGACACCTTACCTGTTATAGTGTCCAACCTGCTCACTGTGTTAGAGGAAGAACAGTTGCTGACTGTTTTAAAAAAATTTAAGAGAGCTATAGGTTGGTCTTTGGCAGACATAAAAGGAATTAACCCTTCCTATTCCACACATAAAATCCTTTTTACTGACCCAACCAGCAGCTCTAGAGAGCAGCAAAGAAGTCTTAACCCAATCATGAAAGAGGTAGTAAAAAAGGAAATCATTAAGTGGCTGGATGCTGGGATCATATATCCCGTTTCTGACAGTAACTGGGTCAGCCTAGTACAGTGTGTCCCTAAGAAGGG